ATATATATATATATATATATATATATATATATAAATTTTCAGTTCACCAGGCAGTTTAGGATTAGGTCGCATTCAACTGACCCTCCAGTATAGTTCTCAGAGGCAAAAATTAATTGTGGTAGTACATAAAATTGCGTAAGTGTTAAACTCCTATAGATTCATACAAGTTTAACCACCCAAATTTCAGACATATACCTTTGAAAGATCCTGCAAATTTACCAGATCCATATGTTAAGCTTTACATATTACCAGGAAGAAGTAAAGAAAGTAAAAGGAAAACTGCTGTGAGTTTAACTCTAATTGAAATTAACTTTTTAGAATAATGAATTTTTCATTGTATTTTCAGACGGTCAAGGACAACTGTAATCCAGTTTTTGAAGAAAGTTTTGAATATCTAATCTCACAAAGTGAACTTATTAATAGCAAATTGGAAATAACCATATGTACGCAAAAAGCACTGTTTTATTCGAGCTCAAATATTCTTGGACAGGTAAATCTAGTCACAATTTTCCCGTTTTTCTTTGGGTAATTTTGGTCATGCGTAGAAACGTTGTTATCATAATTTCGATTGTAATACAGAATTTTACACTGTAGATAAAGCATAAAATAAGTAATTAAGAATTATAAAACGAAACCTCTAAAGCGTTCTCTTATTTGGTGTTATTCAGTCACTGATTTGTTCGTTATTGTAATTATACATGAAACACATTCGGGAAAGAAAAATTAAATAAGAAAATGTAGTAATAAACCATTTTTTTCTTTATAAATTGGTTGAAAATTTGATTCATCAATAGTACTGTTAATCATATTCGTACTTCTATAAATTGTGTTAACTATATCTCATATATATATATATATATATATATATATATATATATATATATATATATATATATATATATATATATATATATATATATATATAGTATATATATATATATATATATATATATATAGTAAAAAGTCGAATTTTGGGTTTTTTGGTTCAATTAAAACAAAATTATGTTAGTTTATTTCTAAATTACGTTTCGTTTATTATTTTAACCTTTATCAAACTGGTATATATGTCATATGTTCGCTAAAACAAAATTAATATAAAAACAACGCTCACAAACATGATTTTAAATCTTACCACAATATAAATACTTCAGACACAAAAGTTCATAGGTGACAACAACAAACAACTATATTGACGATTATACTTAAATATTTAAAATTTTTCTAAAAAACAATCACGTTCATCTCTCAAGGCGTATTACAAATATATGACTGGACTCGGAAATTGATCACATATGCAATATAACCCACATACATCAAATGATACAACTTTATGTTTTGCCGCATGTTCTTATGCGGTTAAAATATTTTTGTAGATTTTACTTAGACCAGTTATGTCGGTTTTATCATTGATGGATTCTGGATTCTTCTTTATATGAATCATTTCCTGGATTTCGCGTTTTTTTATGTTGTTCAGTTTTTAAGATTTTTGTAGCCGAAAAATCAAACTTATGACCCAATGTCTGCTGGTGTTTTGTGAGAGCAGTGGTATTTTTTTTATCGTACCTATGTCCATTTAGCCTATTTTTCAAGTATTGGCTAGTTTGTCCAATGTATACTACTGTACAGTCTGCACATGGAATCTGGTATATTGTGTGCGTTCTTTTATCCATTGAAATGTTACTTTTTAGTCTGCTGAAATTGTTTTACCCCTATTTTTAATTATACCCCTTATAGCACACTTCTATGTCATATTTTTTGAAAAGTTTGTCCAGATTTTCAGACAAGTACGAATAATAAATATAATTTATTTTTAATATTAATTTTGTTTTAGCGAGCATATGACATATATACCAGTTTGAAAGAGGTTAAAATAATAACCGAAACGTAATTTGGAAATATACTAACATCATTTTGTTTTAATTGAACCAAAAAACCCAAGATTCGAATTTTTACAATATAAATAAAATGGTTCACGAATCAGATAGATTGTCATAATATATATATATATATATATATATATATATATATATATATATATATATATATATATATATATATATATATATATATATATATATATATGTATATATATGTATAGTATGTATCGATGCGATATATCACATCGCATCGTACACGTTCACATATCTAGCTCTACTATAACATTCCCTTGATTAATTTGAATTTTAATTAATGAAATTTCAAATGAATGTTCTAGTGTTCATCTTCTTAAATAAATAAATAAATAAATATATATATATATATATATATATATATATATATATATATATATATATATATATATATATATATATATATATATATATATATATATATATATATGTGTGTGTGTATATTTTATATACAATTTTTGTGTGTGTGTGTATTTTTAATACAATTTTTGTTCTAGATCGTTGTAGACTTATGTAAAGTAGACGTGGATAAGTCCTACAGTTCATGGTTTGATCTACAGCCAGAATATCCTCATAATGAGTAATTTTTCCTGTAATATACATTTTTTCAACAGACACTTTTATTTCATACAATTATGTTTGCATTTTATTTTATAATGAGATGTTGAAATTTATACTAATGTTCAAATAAATTCAATAATTACAATTTCTTTTTTTTTTATATATATACATATATATATATATATATATATATATATATATATATATATATATATATATATATATATATATATATATATATATATATATATATATATATATATATATATATATATATATATATATATATATATATATATATATATATATTCTGAAACATCGAGAAAAATATATATATATATATATATATATATATATATATATATATATGTATATAAAATTATATATACATACCTATATATTTCGAATTGTAGGATATTATTTATGTTCATCTTTTGATCCCAAACCTCTTGTTAAACAAATAATTTATATAAATCTACAAGGTAAACTGGCTGATAAATTATCTATAATTTCAAAGTAATTTCTGAGAGGACCTCTTAAATTCTGAAACATCGAGAAAAATACATTCTTCTACAGTAACTAATCTAAACGGGAAGAAAAAGACAGAACTCTTTGCTTTTCTTACGTTGTATTTGTTTTAGTTTAAAATTGTCCGATTTGGACTGTATCAATAGATATCGAAACTATTAGTTCCGCTGAGAGATAGATGGACATTCGATTACTCTATAATTTTCAGTCTGAAATATCAATTACTTTTACAGAAGTGCAGTGAATCCAGCTGGGCATAGCAAGATTTCTGTTTGTGTTTACTTTTTTGAGGGTTATATAAAAATATCACAGTACATCCGAGTATATAATAAATAATATCTTCTGTGAAAGATATTTACTATTTAGGTACACCAACATATAAAACTAAAATTATGAAAAAGTAAGTGAATTTTTACTGTATATATTATAGAATTTCATACGAGGGTGCGTATTCAGATTTGAAAGTACGAAAGATTGGTAAGAGGTATTTTGTAAACAGATGATTTTCAAATTGAAGTAATAAAAAATACATACAACCCTAAATTTCCATCCTTCTATCACCAACCCCTATTTTTTAATTGAATATAAAATCAAATTCAAACACTTGAACTTATGATTTACACTTTATTGACTACATAGCATGACGCGTTTCGTCGTTACAAACGACTTCTTCAGATGCTTACAGAATAATGTATAACCCTATTTTTTAATAGTGAATAACTAATATATAATAATAATAACTAATGAATAACCCTATTTTTTAATAGTTGTTTTAGTAATTTAATAATTTTTCATCCCGCTCGATAACTGATCAATAATCACTTCAAGGGTAAGTTATCCCTGCCAGTTGGGCCTCAACACTCATTTGCCTTACTATATCGGTGTCACTTCCCACTAAACAGCACGGAGTAGGGATGAGGATGAGACCGAAAGAGGTATCCTGTTTCTCTCACACAATAAGCCTTCTCTCACTCTCTCCACAGTTTCGGCCATTATTAATTTATTTATTTATTTACAAATACACGACTCAATAGCTTGGGCCAATTACTGAGAGGGAAAATACAATATAGTTTGCAACTTATAAAAAAATAAAACTAGAAATATCAATAATGTACAAACAATACACATGAACGAAAGATCTGTGGGCAAGTTGACATTAAAGCTCACCGACAAGATACAGGACAAACCAATATTTAAAAAACTTATAACTAAAAAACAGTCAGGCGAGAGCTCGACTGATATCACCAGGCACGCATGCAAATATATCGATGACGTCATGAAAAGGCTCAAAGTCACCACAAATTGTATGAAGCGGTGAAAAAGCCAGAACATTAGTACAAGCCGGAGTTGGATAATGTTCATATTTCTACAAGTTATTCTTGGAACACGGAAATTTATGAGGGAAAGAAGAAAAGAAAAATCAACAGAAAACCTTATCAGCTTGTATAGGAACATTATTCCCAAATATTTCCTCCGTGTTTCAAGTGATGAAACATTAAATCTTGTAAGTAACTCATGATTTATACCTCGTTCTGAATACACACCGTCGGAGGAAAACCATAAATATTTCAAAAATCGTTTATTATTGATTTATGAAAAAATTATGCATCAAGCATAGTAGTAAAGTTTTCAATTATCATTTCACAATGTCATTGTTTCTCTCATAATAACTATACTCTAATATAGTATATATAATATACTATAACATATATAATTATAATATATATATATTATAATTTATAATTTATATATTTATAATTTATAATATATATATATATATATAAAAGAAAGTCGTGTTAGTTACACTATTTATAACTCAAGCACCTCTGTACCGATTTGGTTGAAAATTGGTGTAGAGGTAGCTTAGAGCCAGGAGACGGACATAGGATACTGTTTATCCCGTTCGACAGCGTTCCCGTGTGACTTGACATGAAACATCAGTCACTAAAAAACGTTGTTTGAGTCGGTTGAATTTGCACTTTTTTAGCTCAACATAGCAAGGCATCAGTGTTTTAGGGGTAGAATGCACGACTTCCACATGGGTGGCCCGGGTTCGGTTCCCGGCCAATGCAAATTAAGTATTTTACTTCAATGACAAAAGTTTTCACTAATTTCATTCAATACATATGTATTGAAGTTGTGTATATAAAAACAAGTTCTATAAATGACTAAATACAATGCATAATTATAAAGCACTTTTGTATTGAAAACAAAACACATTATATTCTTTCAAGATATATTCAATTAATTGTTAAATTTAGGTCAATGGCCCTTCTGAGGCTGTTCTTTGAAAATTTTCGCAAATTTTATCATTAATATTTCTATATATAAAAAAGTCGTGTTAGTTACACATTTATAATTCAAGGACGGCTGAAGAGATTTGGCTGAAAATTGGTCGGAGGGTAGCTTAGAACTAGGAGAAGGACATAGGATACTTTTCATCACGTTCCCGTGATGAAGATCAAGAATTTGAACGGGAACTTTCTTAGGAAAACCCCATATGAATGATATGCGGACAAATTATTTAGCTCACAATGAGAATTTGAATAACATTTATGAAAAGTCAGATTTAATTGTCAATTTTCGAGATTTAATTCTTCATTACTCCAGTAAAACAAATATTCCCAATTGTTGGAATGTTGAAATGGGTTCAGTTAACAAGAAAATTCATTTTTATTTTCTTAATTTAAGTGAAGAAATTATTGCCATAAGTAACCACATTACTGTGAATGAAGACATGTTAGTAACAGTATTTTTGAAAGGAAAAAAGTTGTTGTACACTGATTTAAGTTGTTACAGAAATATGTGTTCACAATACCCAATATAAAATTCTATATGTTATAAATACTATTAATATTTCTTGTTTGTTCGCAATATACAAAAAGAATTGAAATAATGCTTGAAAGCTTGGGAACATCCGTCTGGAATAGTATACCTCTAAACACAATTTGGCAACACCGAGGGACTACGCTCTTCATGGCCTGTATTAAAGGTGGCCGTGACTATGCATTATCACAGAGTAACGGACGAATCTATCCAATCCTCTCTAAGACCTTTTAGTCATAGCCTTACTCTATTTACTCTAAGTAAAGTTAGGCTGTGTTTGTCCTACGTTCACAGAACATAAAATTCAATTGTATTTTGTGCCTTGAACTATTTCTTTCTAACTCTGTGATGGTAGACCGTGTTCTACACAGATCATACAATTTGGTATGTTCTGTGGTACTTACGATTATATTCTGTGATGGTCAATGTTTGTTCATCTAAAAAAATTTCATTATAAAATTTTTTGAAAAGTAAATTAATAATTATATTAAGGTTGCTCAGATTCATTAATTTTCAAGCAACAGTTTCTTCAAATCAAATAGAATAGACTTGATTGACTCAATAACGCATGTTCTGCTCTTTAAATTAAACCGCAGACCGGATTTCTGTCTACATGTCTTCCGCCATGTTTCTTGTTTGTGTATAGACTTCAGATTGTTTCTATCAAACAAACCTAAATAAATTAAATTTGTGATAGAGAATATTCAAATTAAGGTTGCCCCAATGAAGATGAAATTAGTAGATCAGGTTGTTAGAAGTTTTAGGGTCGCAAAAGTATTCAGGGAAAATACAGATAAAATCAACAGTATAGATTTTTCATCTAATGGTGAGACGTTGATCTCTTGCAGTGAAGATGATCAAATCGTAATATACGATTGTGAAAAAGGTACTCAAATTCGAACAGTCAACAGTAAAAAGTATGGAGTGGATTTAATTCATTTCACACATGCAAAGAATACTGCTATTCACAGTTCTACGAAAATAGATGATACAATAAGATATTTGTCTCTACATGACAATAAATACTTGAGGTATTTTCCTGGTCACACAAAAAAAGTTGTTTCCTTATGTCTATCTCCAGTTGAAGATACATTTTTATCTGGTTCCTTGGATAAAACACTTCGGTTATGGGACTTGAGATCACCAAATTGTCAAGGTCTTATGCATTTGTCAGGGAGGCCAGTTGCTGCTTATGATCCAGAGGGACTTATTTTTGCTGCAGGTGTCAATTCAGAAAGCATTAAGCTGTATGACCTAAGATCATTTGATAAGGTAACTTAAATAATAAATAGTTCAAAATTGTCGTTAAATTCATGAAAAAACAGAATAATTAATTCAATTTTTCTGTTTATTATCGTCAAATTAGAAATATTACTGAAGTTTTAATTTTTGTCATTCAATTCAGTCGCTTAATATCAAGCAATTTCAGTATTCTCTGAAAAGGGTTGACAGTTCACTCATTCCACAAAACTTGATGGAATATTGTAAAAAATCATAGTAATATAATGCTTCTAAGTTCCACTGAAATTGATATATATTTCTGTATATAAACAAAATCAATATTTAATTAATTAGCAAATAACATACCTTAAAATGGAAAAATTTTAAAAATAAAAATATAGCAGCAAGAAAACTATCAAGAAAAATTTTCTATATAGGTATATTAGGATTTGGTATGATTGGTTGTATCAGGTTTAGACTAAACCTAATACATACCAAATCCTAATAAAGTAATAAATCAGGTAATCAATCTATTTCCTAATATATATATATATATATATATATATATATATATATATAATTAAAAAATCGATTATATAAGTATAATATATATATATATATATATATAATGATATAATTTTGTCTAATTTTATATAACTATATCCGTGTATGATGGACGTACAAAATTTACAGTATTATAAAAGACAAAATTTACAGTATTTACCAGCAATTTAGTTGTTTGTTTCTGTAAACGGATGTCACAAAAACAACTAAATTGCAGGTAAATACCGTAAATTTTTATACATATACATATATATATATATATATATATATATATATATATATATATATATATATATATATATATATATATATATATATATATATATATATATATATATATATATATATATATATATATATTGTTATTTGAATTTTGGACTTTTACAGGGCCCTTTTGTAACATTCAAGCTTACTCAAGAAAAAGAATGTGATTGGACAGGTTTGAAATTTTCCCGTGATGGCAAAACAATTCTTATAAGTACAAATGGTTCAATAATCCGTCTAGTGGATGCGTTTCATGGTACACCTCTGCAAACATTTACTGGTCACCTTAATAACAAAGGAATTCCAATTGAAGCTTCTTTTAGTCCCGATTCACAATTCATTTTCAGTGGTTCAACAGATGGGCGAGTTCACGTTTGGAATGCTGACACTGGTTACAAAGTGTGTGTTTTAAATGCAGACCATCCAGGCCCTGTTCAATGTGTTCAGTTCAATCCTAAATATATGATGCTTGCTTCAGCTTGTACTAATATGGCATTCTGGCTTCCAACAATTGAAGATACTTAGATTGTAGAAATTATATTCATTTTAAAATTTAGATGGTATGCCTTGATTTTGAGACAGGAACTCAATCATATGTTGAGAGTTTTTCAATATTTGTAATATAATAAACAACAAAGATACATTATGAGTACAATCTAACACTTCCTGTTAACATACTCTCTTTTTGGTATGCCACATTGTTGCCCTTTCAAGTCGATACTAATGTTGATTTTTAATATTTGATTATAATTTTATACTTTCCATTTTTTCATACTGCCAAATACAAAATGCTTCGACAGGTTATCATAAAAGTAAATTATTTTTATTATATTTTCCATCACATTTTTAACAGTATATTTCTATTACTTTCAATTTTATCAAATAAATTAATTTCATTGATAACGAAATTGTCAATTCCTCAAATCCTTTGGATATTACACCTCCAGGGCTGAAATATTTTCTTTCATTGATTTTGAAAAAGTTGTAAACATCATTGAATTTCCAAAAATTTATATATTTTTTAGGTGTTTCAGTTTACATTGAGGCATCTTATATTATTGAGCATTATATATTTGTTAACTCTTAATTAGAATTTTAAATTATATTTCTGCTTGTTGGAAATCTCAAGTATGTGAGATTTAATGGTACAATTTTGAATTCTGTTTTTCATTCTCAAATATTTACTTTCATTTATTTCTTGATATTTGGTAGAATAAAGTACAGATTTTTTGTTTCTTGATATTTTGTCCCAAAACCATTGAATGAGTAATTTGAAAATCAATTTAGTGCATACTGATCAAATAATTGTACAATAGATAAAAAAATCTGTAAATTTTTTTGCATTATTTAAAAAATCATACATATCATACTTCCTAGAGTATAGAAGCTCAAATCACTAAAAATCAACATTTATTAATAAAATAATCAACCAAATAATAATTTCAGTTCAAATTTATGTAAACCAAAATATTAATGGTGAATTAATTCAGTTACAGTAAGATTAGTCAAATATTTTTTGATATGATTTTGTTGCTGTTCACGCAATGAGAAACCTCAACATTGTAAATATATTTTAAATCTAGAAATTTAGTGTTCTGTTTTTATGTATTTACATGGTGTAGATGTAACATATGATTTGAATTAAATTATTTTTCTAGCCTTTGCTTTTTTAATTTTTTTGGTTATTTAATGCAGTCATATTGACTGTTGTGAGTTATTCATTGTGATAACTATCGCATTCTTTCTTTATGTATGAGAATGTATTCCTACTTTTAAAGTATTGTTTTGTAATAATTTTAAATGAATTATCAATTTTTTATCCCTTTTGATTTGTAAATTTATAGAATATAATTAACTTCCTCTAATGAAATTTCATTTTCCTGAAACTGGATAAATTGACGTTTCTAGTTTCATAACAATATCTTTTAACTGCATAATAAATGATTAGTTGAAGCTAGCTCAGGATCTCTTGGATTATGGTGTTTCCTTATTTCTCATCGTAACAGTATTTCTTACCAAGTTGTTTGAAAAGATGAATGGTAGAGAATTTCTGAAATGTGAAGAAGATGTTTTAAGAAAAAACTGATTATAGCTACAAGTATTATTTATTGCAGGTTCTGTAAATTGTTTCGTTTCATTTTTGAATTCTTTCCAGGTTTTACAATCATGTGCTGCTGTGATTCACTTGTTTCTATTA